ATTTCTTATACTACTAGTATTACAATATTAACTATTAAGCCTATCCTTATAACTACTTCTATACTCATTTCATATGCCTCTTATTCTTTTTTGCACTTAATTTATCCTGGCCCTCACCATTGTCTAGTCCTAGTTTAAAACTTCCCTTACAACTGAGTTAATAGCCTTAGCAAACAAACCAGCCCCGATCCTATTTAAATGCAAACCATCCATTCCAAAAAAACTCCCTTCTTCCGCTAAACTGATCCCACAAGTCCAATCAGCCAATCTGCTCTTCCTTACATACTAACCTAAGCCTAGCATTTAGCCCTAGTAACCTACTAATAACTTCATTCCCACAATTAATTCTGGGCATTATCCATGACAAAATTAAGTTATGGCCCTTTTCTTTAAATACCTTTATCAACCCCTTGTACTTATCAGTTAGCTTCACTGACCTACCTTTCCCTACATTATTAGCCCCTACGTGTACAACAAATACTGCACCTCTGATAGTCCCCTTTATCATATCTCTTGCTCTGTCATTTATATCCTCCATCTGTGTCCCTGGGTAGCATAATCTGATTCTTTTCTCAATATTTTACCCCACAGACTATCTTATTCAAGGAATCACCTATAACTATAAGCTCCTTATCATCCACATCCTTCTCTGCCCCTTTTGTTTTCCTTACCTACATCTGCAGAAGCCAAGGGCTGAAATTTGTTGCTCAACAGAATAGGCTCATTATAACTAAATTCACCACTTTTAACCCTAACAGTACTGTTTCTAACTTCCTGAAAGTCATTGTTAGCTGATGTATTCCTTGCATATAAAAACTTAATCTCCTCTTCAAATCCTGCTGCCATTTCCAACAATCTACAATTCTCTTTATCTATTGCATCTACTTTAATCATAATTGGTTCTAACTTTTCCTCTAACCTACAAACTCTACATAAAAATTGCACATCTTCATTACTAACTTCCTTAAAAGTACATTCCAGTCCCAAGTTCCCAAATAAAACCCACTCATTGCACCCATTACACCTAACAAACTGTGAATGCTCAACTCCTACAATAATCTTAACCATTTTATTTACAGTTATAGCTGAATATAAATACACAATACCAAATACTGGTAGCCTATTGTCAACACTGTTACTATTAAGCCTAACGTTTAAGAACCAATTATATTAGATTGTTTTATCACTAGTTTGTCTTCACACTAAAGTAATAAAGTTTATCTTTAATTATATAGATCTTAGAAATAGAACTTTATTAGAAGTGACAATAACTAGTCTTTGATGTATACATAATGTAAATAATACAATGTATTTACCTTGACTTATATTATAACTACCTATAGTATAAGCAGAATTTAAACTAATGGATCTAAGTTCAAGTAAACAAATTAATACTTAAAACACAAGGAGACAATAAACTAACCTTTATATAGGATTTATTTAAGAAAACAATGTATTAACCTGTTTTACGATTTTTCAGTAAGTTGAATTATAGCTAAGCCTAAAGTACCATTACGCTTACCAAACCTAATTTAACGTTGTAGTACAACTTACACCACTAAATTCTTAAGTTAAAACTTTGACCTTTTTACTTTTATTTACCAATCTTACTAAATCTAGTTATTCTTTGGGTATTTAACCCAAATTACTACAAATGATAATATTAATATTGAATAATTTTCAAAAATCCATAAGAGCTTTTCAACATGCCAATAATATTTATGATTTTATTAAAATACATTAAAACAGTATTTTCTTATAATGAAAATAATATATTATTTAAAGTAGAAGTTTGTCAGTACACTAACAGTCCATGATGTTATCATATTAAGTGTGCTCAAAAACATTCAACTACTGATCAGTAAAATCAAATCTTATCTACTTTGAAAATTCCTGTAAATGAGGAGCAAACCAATCAAAATATAAGTAAATTATAACTAATTATAAGAAAATAATAGAAAAGGTAAACCCATTTTCCAAGACATATTCCAAGCCACAATGGCAAAATAATCAAAATATTGTCAAAGAATGGAATATGACGTAGTCAAAAATACTATATTTTTTAAATCACCAAAAAAGCTTCATTGTCCACAAGCCTATGAATATAAGGAATGTAACAAATTGATCAGAGATGTATGACAGGCAGTGTGAAATCTTTAGACAGTAATTAAATCAATAGCTAAGCAAAACAGAAAGTAGGAAGCTAATAAGTGACAAGTTACTAGAATATAGTTAAATTCAGTTTCTGGACATTTAGTTCATCGGACAAATTTATCTGTATCATAAGAATATTCTAACAATTATTCAGCTGTAAGAATTATTAGCTAATGTAAATTCACAACACATGAAAATGCTGTTATGCATTGGTCACATTCAATCTATTAAAGAAATATATAATAATATTCTTTTTTATAACACTTGGGTATTTTAAGTCAAAATATACAGTTAATTATAAAAAAGGCTACAAATCTACAGCAGACATAAACATTACCTTTATCACCAACTTCTATACACAAAATCTGATATATTTAGATGATAAGAAAACGGATGAAGTACCAAACCTGAAACACTATCCTGCAGATAATTTAATAGGCCAATCTTCTTTTCAAAATCTTCTCGTTTCTTCTTTTTTTCATCTTCATGGTCCTTGTTAGTTCCTACACAGTACTGAAATGTGAATAAGTGGTCTGTTGGTTTAAAAACACACATTTAGGGAGAAAAAACTTATCCACTCTTTCGAGTGGCAATAAATAGATGAACAGATGAAAGAAGCACTCTTTGTTTAACATAACGATATCACATATAATAGGTGGAATCAACATCACAGTAAGAGTGAAAACAATTTTTAACTGTTTACCCTAACTCCGGCCAAGGGTTTTTCATGTAAATCTGAACTAAGCAGTTTAATTTACAGCAACAGTTGGACATTCTTCACAAGTTATGGCACTGTATGGTGTATTGAAAATACATATTCAATAAAAATATTTTTAGGTCTTTTTTTTTCTATTATTAAAAACACAAAATGCTCAATGTTTTCAACTGAGCTTAACTCAGTTTAGTGACAAATAAAACAGAGCGAAGAAACATATATTATTCAATATGATAGGAAGGTTTTCACTGAAATTAATCAAATGAGACATCAACATTGTTTTACTTACACAATAATTTATTTGTAAAGTTTAAAAAACTTTAAAAACTCTACATATTTCAGTGGAAACCATGAAGTACACAGGAAGTTTCTTATAAACCTAATGTACGTGTATAATTAGCATCTTTTTTAAAGTGGCTCCATTTACAACAATAACTTCCAAAGATTTACTTCCGTGGCTCCTAGGCCTAAATCTCTATTTATATTCATTTTGTTTTTAACAATTTCTAAGGATTCTCTTAGGATAATGTAAAAATACTTAAGCAGGTAACGGAAAAAGATGAACTAAACATCAATTGAAACATGTAGAGTTTTAAAGTTTGTTTACTTATATTTTTTAAACTTTACAAATAAATTATTGTGTAAGTAAAAAATGATGATGTCTCATTTGATTAATTTCATTAACAATTTTTTGCACAAGATCTGTCTTACGTATTGATGATAGCAAGGCATTGTTAATTTTACACGAAAAATAAAGATAACAGTTGATTTATTTATTTACTTTTTTTCCTTTACAGACTGCAATATTCTGTCCTCCTGTTGGTAACTACATTAACCTTTTCATTATTGGGTGTTATGTAAGGTTACTTCAAATGCAGACTTGTATAAGTATATTAAACACAGAATTAAGAAGTATAATTTTTATCCATTTCAATAACTTTGTGCTAGAAAAATATCGTACAATGGTTATCTAGTTAATTTTATAAATACAAGTTCAAAAAATAAATAAGCATTCAATTTTGCAGTGTGTGTGGTAAACTGAAATGCAGACTATGGATTCTGTTACTTTTCCTTATGGCGGCTATGGCTTATATTGATGTCTGCATACAAAGAATCTTGACAAACAACACAGTATCTCAGGATTGAAAACAGACTGACCAGTCCATCCTAAAGTTGTTTAAACAAAACGAAGGTCCAAGTTTCAAAATGATATATTAAAACAACTTTCCCATCACTTGTAACAAATCTTTCATTTGAAGAACAAGACTAGCAAAGACACAACTGAAATGTTGAATAATATAATACAGAGATGTGGGAATTTTTGTATAGTTTCTGTTGAAAATATTTCTTGCTGCAGATTTTGAAATTGTGATATAGCATGTCCGTTTGAAAAACTACAGCAGCTTGTATTTGGAAAAAAACTTAGATAAGGATACTTATGTAGCACGTACTTAGGCCTATACAATAACAGAATGACCTTTTTAAAAAGGTGGGTAAAAAAAAGAAAATAACAAAGATAAATGTATTACTGTATACATAAAACAGAATTTTCTGATCAATAATAAAAACATATTTGGTTTTATTTATTTCTTTCATATGTTTCTTAATTGTGTTTTTTTCTTTTTTGCATTATATAAACCAGTGATAAACACAAACCAAAACTTTTAGTTTTATTGGGGTAGAAAAAAAAGACTATTTGATACTTTTTTCAAGTCTAAGACAAAATGAAATATATTTATTATTTCTATAGAAACAATGTTTTACAATAAGCTTCCATAAAACTTAGAAGTTAAAAACTGGTACAAATACAAACATAAATTATTTTTTTCTACAATATCTGATATTAATTAGAAAGTTTATGCCAAGTTTTCATGTTATCTGATTTGGTATTTTTTGTTTTCCCAGTTACTAGGTGTTTCAATTTCACACTCTGGGATGACATAGGTTAATGAAGATTGACTTTATAACTTTCAACCAAAAGTAAAAGTGCCATTTGTTAAGAATTAAATGCAACATCAATATTATAGCTTACCTCACCATCTTCAATTTCTTTAAAAAAGTTGACATGTTTTGCTTGATTATCATCATTTGAAACATCAGACTTCATAGAAGTTCTCTTTTGTAGAAAGTTAATCCTTGCTTCTTGTTCCTATTCAATTCAAAAGGAAGATCATTTCCTCCATCAGTGTTTGTAAAACAGTTTCAACACATATATCGATACAGACTAAAAAATTATGATACTTTATAAACCTTCAAATCATTTTGTTTGTAGTTAAGCCAAAAAAGCTACACAATGGGCTATCTGTGCTCTACCCACTCATGGGTATCAAAACCCAGTTTCTAGCATTCACCTTTAAATCACTTTTTTTTAGTCTAAGGAGAAAAGAAAAAATTCCCAAATAAGAATAAGATGGTTTTGAAAAGTCTTGTAAAATAAAACTGTTCAAATATAGAAAATAAAAAAATTGTACACTTGGTAGTACATCGAAAATACAATTTACACACAGCTAACTGCGATCTCCTCTTTTCTTCTTCATCCTTTCTGCGAGCTTCAGCTTCATCTCTTCTTACCCGTGCAATATTGTCTTTAGTACGAACATGCCATCTATTAATAAGATAAAAGTAAATCCTAATCAGTACTGACGTTTAACTATACAAGATGAAGTAAGCACAAAGGTACACTAGTTGGTGAAACACAGACAGTTTTTAATGTTTTATAAAATCATATTTCAGTGTATTTATCTTGTTGTTTCATTTGCTGAATTTTGTTTCATTTTACTCATGTATACACTTAATATCTACCTATAACATTTGGAAGAATATTAAAAAATCAAACTAAATACACGTAACACATAAAATGTAGAACAAAGACACACCAATCAGGACATTCAATAATATTTGTGACACTAATTCACTAAACTCTCCGAGATAAATATCAAATATCACACAAGATACTATATGTGTTAGTCATAAGGACATTTATGTAAAAGACTGTACAGATAAATATTAAAATATCACACAAGATATTATATGTGTTAGTCATAAGGACACTTATGTAGGAGACAGTACTGATAAATATCAAAATATCACACAAGATACCATATGTGTTAGTCATAAGGATACTTATGTAGGAGACTGTACTGATAAATATCAAAATATCACACAAGATACTATATGTGATAGTCATAAGGACATTTATGTAAAAGACTGTACAGATAAATATCAAAATATCACACAAGATATTATATGTGTTAGTCATAAGGTTACTTATATAGGAGACTGTACTGATAAATATCAAAATATCACACAAGATACCATATGTGTTAGTCATAAGGATACTTATGTAGGAAACTGTACTGATAAATATCACACAAGATACTATATGTGATAGTCATAAGGATACTTATGTAGGAGACTGTACTGATAAATATCAAAATATCACACAAGATACCATATGTGTTAGTCATCAGGATACTTATGTAGGAGACTGTATTGAGCACAAGCGTTGCAGAATAGTTGCACACACATACACAATGTGCACTGAAAAATTTTGGTTGGGAAATAGATTTACACTAGGGTCTTCCCACATGCAACAGCATCTTTCTCCCACTGTAAATGTCAGTGTGATGATAGTGAACTATGTAGAGTTAATTTTCATCAGTATAATGTGCACATACCACGAATCCCGAGAAAAATTATACACTGTAGGATACAATACAGTATGACATATTAACTTCAAGTAATTGAAATATTTGTTACCCTTAGTTTTAGTTTTATTTACCCTTGAAACAGAACACATTCAGTGACTCTGCAGAAGTACATCTACTATACTGATTAATATGCTAAAGCTTGTTTTAATGGTGAACCTTTCACTTCACAGTTTATGTACATTGGTGAATGTAATGCTAGCTTCAGAGATTATGCATGTAATATCCTTTTTTTAAAAAAAAATTTACTTGTTGTGATGCTCAAACGAGGCATTGTGTGTATGATAATACTCTGTAAATTTTATCTAACAGTACAAACTGCAACATTAAGCATCCTTAAGTGACATCATTTTAGTGTCTATTAACTGACAGACAACACACTACTATATATTGGTAGGAGTGGTTATAACAGGTGACTCATCCAGACAGTCTTTGGCCCGCTTTTGGAGAAATAGGTGTATATGTTTTGTGATGGTAAGGTAAAAAAAAGTTTTGCTAATGTAATTTGAATCTGAATAAAAAAACAACCTAAAATAATAATTGACATAAATAATGAATTGCTAATTACAATCAAAAGGTTAAGCAATAAACGAGTTTTTTCAGTTGCTAGATTTGTGTAAAAACATCTTTATAAATCCTTACAAAAAACAATGTGGATGGTATAAAACAAACAGAAACTTGTAAAATCCTAGTTTTTAGAAAACAGTTTGTACACAACACCAAATATTCAAGCCATAATTTTGAAGGAATGCATGAACAGTTTTACAGAATAAGTATGTTAGATATTAACACTATAAATTTACATGAATATCAATTATTTCAAATTACACAATTTTTAACAAACAATAATCTGACAGCAAAACTGGATAAAGATAACAGTGGTCTTGAAATTAAAATACTGTTTATGTTAGAATGTTTGTGCATTATATGTGTTGATACAAAATTTTACTTGTAAAATTTATCATTTATCATTCTCTACAGCTCTTAATTAATATCAGAAAGCTGTTATTAGCAACATATGGTTACTTACTGGACTATCTGGATTAGAGTTGGTAAAAATTAGGGAGAGGGAATTAGTGAGGATGTGGGATCAAGATAGAACAAATTTTATGTAAACAGTAACTCAAAGTGATATTGAAAAGAAATAACAATTCATTGAATTGTGATTAGTGACTTTTTAAAATATTAAATATTATCACTATAAAGAGAATATTATTTAAACAAAATGTCAGTAAAGATATAAATTATTCTAAACTTGGAAAAATCCACTCAAACAATTATTTATTTACTTAATAATTCAAAGCTCAGTGAAATAGGAATGATGGGAATTAAGTTAAAATAATCTTGGGTGTTTTTTTTTTCCAGTATGGATATTGTTGAGCATGGAATCAGACATAAAAAAAAACCTCCGAACTCTTTCACTACAGGCTCAGTCCCAGGGACCAACCTGTTATAGTTTTCACATTATAACTTTTAAAACAGTATGTGTATTTTCTCAAAATATGGCAGATTATCATTAAACCTAACAAGGCTTTCGTACACAATATATCAAATTTTTAAGAAGTTTTAATTAAAGATTTGCTCCTACATTTTTACTTCTGGAATATTGACTATCCCACATATAAAATAATTTTGATTTTAAGATTGAAAATACCTTTATGCATCAGAAAATTAACAATTTTCATTTGTGAAAACTCTATAACATCCTAATAAAATACAGATAAATATCAAATGTTTTGTTTAGAAAAACTTTATTATATTTTATATGTTATTTTCTCTATCTTATCTCTGTAGGTGTTTGATCGAATTGACAGATGTCGTAATCCCCCAAAATTAATTTGGAAATAAGATTTAAATTACTCTTTTTTTCATTCTAGAACAACTACAAATTGTAGCCTGAAACCACAAATGTTTATTCTAAGTAGCTTAAAAACTTGTAACGTTATACATCTATTTATTATTTTATTGACCTTCCATCTGTGTTTGACTAGCATTACAATCACGGTGCACATGAATCTCATGTTACCTTGTGCAATAGCATAGTACTGGCATTTACAGTCTGTCTTGGCTTTATTCCAGTGGACCAATATTTTGTAAAACAGTCACAATTCAGTTACAACACTTCACATACATGGATGATGCAAAACAAAATAACTTTTTTAGGTTTTATATATGCATCTTGAAATAACACAAAATTATAAATTACTAAATCAATATCACAGAATTCCACTATAATTTATCAGGCTTTATTAGCTTTATTTCGATATAAAAAAGATTAATCTTTGGAAATAGACACCTTGAATAGGCCAAGAAAACCACTTAGGGAAATTCTGAGCTTTTAATTAGTTATAAACACATCATAGAGAGAAGTGTGTGTATGAAGTAAGCATTTCTAAAAATGGAAGAGGTGAGTGGGACCACTGTGTTTGATTTGTTAAATATAGTCATATCTCAGTAAATAGAAAAGATAGGAGGTTCTTATTTTATATTCTAGCTTGTCAATATTGGTAATTTGAGTTTCTAGTTCATAAAAAACTACAGACTTTGTATTTGGACATCACAAATATCTAATTTAAACCAATGTTGCACTCAACATACCACATGACATATCATTTTAAGTTAAGAAATTAACTAATGTATAACACTAAAAATTGAATTATAATCTACAGTCTGATACCAAACTTACTGACATAAATTCATAAAATAGTAGTTCAATAAATTTTTGAATGCAAGTCTACAAATGTGATGACATACCCTTTGACCTCTGACCATAGAAAATCCATAGCAATAGGGTTAAAAAGAAAAGTAAACCAAATAAATATCTTAGAATTATTATGAGGGAGTATCTGGATAATACTTGACAAATACACTTAATTTAGAATTAAATTCAAAATCAATCCTCGAAAGCCAAATTTCACACTATATGCTGCATAAAAAAACAAAAAAAAACAAAACAAACAAATTACCATGAATTTGCTTAATCTTTTCAATGCTTCCACAGAAAATATAACCTACCTTTTCTTTGGCAAAATATTCATGGTAGCTGAATAAAGTTAATCTGCTGAGCTTGCTGGCGGTTGTGTAATGCTAAACAAAATATATATATATATATATATACAACTTATTCAACAGACATGCTCTTCAATTTGATCTTATAAACAAATTTAAACATCTTTTAAAACTACTGAGATAATGGATGACAATTCAAAACTGATGATATTGTTACGTCTCCGTTTGTTAATTAATT